CCGTGAGGCTTGCATTCATTTCAGGTGTAACACTCTGGGAAATGGGCAAACCGGCAACTCTTTCCCCCATGTTCCCGACCTGGGTCTCAGAGGTAAACATGGTTTTGTAAAAACTACAAGCAATGTCCGCCTTCCCAGCTTCCTCCGTGACCCTGTCACAATTATCACTACGGAGGCCTTCCACAAAGTTTCTTTTTCTCCGAGTTCTTGTAACAGTATGGAAATAAGAAGTGTTCTTATCACCCTTTTGAGCCAATGAACTCTAGACTTCTGTTGCCAATAAATTTCCTCTGCCTCCCATTGCCGAGTCAGCTCCATCTCTAGAGTGCGGACCTCATCCCAATCGATAGGATGTATCAGTTTAATCCGTTCGATTTCGGCCTGGAGAGTATGAATGTTGCGCAGGAAGTTCGTAGTACCCACCCTACTCCAATCATAAAGAAGATGCCGAAGCTTTTTCAATCGTTCCCAGAGCTGGAACATCAGAATCCCATGAATTTCTTCTTGCCAGACATAGGTCACCATCGCCCTGACCTCCGGATTTTCTGCCCACCGAGCATCAAATCGGAACAAGGGGAGAGTGTGGCGGGTATACGGTTTATCAGCGAGGAGGAGGGCTCGATGATCAGGGCCTTGGTCTGTGAAATGCTTGACCAAAGTATCCGGGTAACGCGCAATCCAATTATGAGAGCACAACGCTCGGTCAGCCTCTCACGAATACACGCCACACCCATCCGTTTATTGGTCCAGGTGAATTGATCCTTCTGGTACCCAGGGTCATGGAGACCAAGGACCTGTATGAATTCACGAAAGCTAAGAGCTTGTGATAAACTCCAGGCATTTACCCCATCCTTTTCACTCTCATGAAGAGTAGTGTTAAAATCACCTAGCTATGACCACATAGGGGAGCTGGATGGTAGCATAAATTTGCTGCAGCTAAGCTAACTGAGTGGCTCTTATTGTTGAATTACAACTAATGTAAACTGAAACCACCACATAAGAAAAATCACCTTCATTAATTTGGGTGAAAATACATAAATTGGAATGAAAAAACACCAAAGCCTCAACTTCGGGGGACCAAGCTACGACTAAACCACTCGATGCATCAATCGCATCCACAAAGAAACAATAAGAAAGATCAAAACCTAACCCGCGCATACGACGGGACACTACTCTACGGCTCGATCGTGTTTCTGGAAAAAAAAAAACAAGAGATCCGGTATATTGGAACGAACAAAACGACAACAGTTTGGAATGTGAAGGATGGTCCAATTCCTCTCACATTCTAGGCCAGAAGCCTCATTTATCCGGGTGGGGCCACTTGAGGCTGGCTTCCTCCACCTTTTTCATATCATCTTGATCCTCCACAAATTGTTTCTTAGGGGTCGGGGCCTCCTCCGCAGTACCCTCAATTTCATCAAAGGGACGCTTCACACCACCCTTGAAGGTTTCGGAAGATTGGATCCATATTCCTTGAAGGCCCAAATCCTCCATTCCCTCCTCCGTCACCTTTGATTGCTGCGTGCCCCCCAGAGGACGTGGGTTTCATCGACCCAGTACACTTTCCACACTGTTCATAGATAGTCCTTTCTCAAACTCCTAGACTACTTGTCAAACTCGTCCCACCTGGGCCTGGCACCTCAGATGTTTCTTCCCTGCCAGTGGACGTCATTTGATTTCGAAGATATGGGCATCCTCCTCCGAGACTGTTCCCTCCGAGTCAACCAGTGTGGCCTGGTCTGTGGTCAGGGGAATCCTTCGGGTCAAATGAGTTGGGAGTACCCGACTCTACCCTAGTATCAGATATGACGTCCTCTGCATTGGGATCGCTATACGTGGGGACACACACCCGTAACGTCACAGCATCAATAATCACCCTCGGAGTAGGGTTCCTCACAAATTGGGGAGGAGGAATTTGTTGACCACCCTTCTCCTTTCACGAGGCCTCACGATTAGGGGGGTTTGTAGTCCGCAAATCGCGTGGCTTTGCAGCACCCTTGCGATTACCACGAGCCCGGCCAGCTAGGCGCTCTGCTTGCCCTGGGTCCCTCTCGGCCATCATCTTTTCCTTGCCAGCTTGCATGGGCTTTGCATGCACCACAAATTCCTCTTCCGACTCCTCTAGTAGGATCAGCCGCCTACGACGAGCCTGATCTTGGGTTGTATCCATGACAGGGGAGCCGAGTGAGGGTTGCATCTCTTCATTAACCCGCTGTTGTCTCGTACGCCTGTTCCGATGCCCTGCCTTATTCCCCGCCTCGAAATACGAGGTATCACCTGCTTCCCGGCCTGCCAGTCCACGTCGTTTGCGACCAAGTTGGACCGCTTCTCCTTGATGCTTAGACCCTTGCGGCCATATCCCCCAAGACTAATCTTTGAACTTTTGGACATAGGGAATCGAAGCGAGGGTTTCTCTTGGCCACCTTGCGGCTCGACCTCCATAAATGGGTGGGTAGAAGTCCCCATCCAAAGCGGACTGCGTACGAAAGTTGGCCTTTTCCCAGCTGCCATAGTAGGTTGTTTCCCCAGCCTTTCATCATCGCGGACGGCCGCATTTGTGCGCTTACTGTCTACAGGACCCTTGTCACGGTGTTCCTTGTTGATCCAAACCGTTCGAGGGTGTTTCTAGAAAAAAAACAAGAGATCCGGTCTATTGGAACGAACTAAACGACAACAGTTTGGAATGTGAAGGATGGTCCAATTCCTCTCACATTCTAGGCCAAAAGCTTCATTTATCCGGGTGGGGCCACTTGAGGCTGGCTTCCTCCACCTTTTTCATATCATCTTGATCCTCCACAAATTGTTTCTTAGGGGTCGGGGCCTCCTCCGCAGTACCCTCAATTTCATCAAAGGGACGCTTCACACCACCCTTGAAGGTTTCGGAAGATTGGATCCATATTCATTGAGGCCCAAATCCTCCATTCCCTCCTCCGTCACCTTTGATTGCTGCGTGCCCCCCAGAGGACGTGGGTGTCGTCGACCCAGTACACTTTCCACACTGTTCATAGATAGTCCTTTCTCAAACTCCTAGACTACTTGTCAAACTCGTCCCACCTGGGCCTGGCACCTCAGATGTTTCTTCCCTGCCAGTGGACGTCATTTGATTTCGAAGATATGGGCATCCTCCTCCGAGACTGTTCCCTCCGAGTCAACCAGTGTGGCCTGGTCTGTGGTCAGGGGAATCCTTCGGGTCAAATGAGTTGGGAGTACCCGACTCTACCCTAGTATCAGATATGACGTCCTCTGCATTGGGATCGCTATACGTGGGGACACACACCCGTAACGGCACAGCATCAATAATCACCCTCGGAGTAGGGTTCCTCACAAATTGGGGAGGAGGAATTTGTTGACCACCCTTCTCCTTTCACGAGGCCTCACGATTAGGGGGGTTTGTAGTCCGCAAATCGCGTGGCTTTGCAGCACCCTTGCGATTACCACGAGCCCGGCCAGCTAGGCGCTCTGCTTGCCCTGGGTCCCTCTCGGCCATCATCTTTTCCTTGCCAGCTTGCATGGGCTTTGCATGCACCACAAATTCCTCTTCCGACTCCTCTTGTAGGATCAGCCGCCTACGACGAGCCTGATCTTGGGTTGTATCCATGACAGGGGAGCCGAGTGAGGGTTGCATCTCTTCATTAACCCGCTGTTGTCTCGTACGCCTGTTCCGATGCCCTGCCTTATTCCCCGCCTCGAAATACGAGGTATCACCTGCTTCCCGGCCTGCCAGTCCACGTCGTTTGCGACCAAGTTGGACCGCTTCTCCTTGATGCTTAGACCCTTGCGGCCATATCCCCCAAGACTAATCTTTGAACTTTTGGACATAGGGAATCGAAGCGAGGGTTTCTCTTGGCCACCTTGTGGCTCGACCTCCATAAATGGGTGGGTAGAAGTCCCCATCCAAAGCGGACTGCGTACGAAAGTTGGCCTTTTCCCAGCTGCCATAGTAGGTTGTTTCCCCAGCCTTTCATCATCGCGGACGGCCGCATTTGTGCGCTTACTGTCTACAGGACCCTTGTCACGGTGTTCCTTGTTGATCCAAACCGTTCGAGGGTGGTAGGGTCGAGTGGCCTCATCGGCATCGAATATTTTACGGCCCATTTTTTTGGCCACCATGTGGGGTCCGAACCTCTCCTTTCCCGTGGGAGGGTCAAAAGAAGCTTGGTAAATGCTCATACTTGAGCTTGATCCAAAAGCACCCAGTCTCATCATTCGCCGCCATGATTTGAGATCGAAGTGGTTTGGAGAAGTCAATTATCACCTTCACTTTGATAAAATTCCGAGCCGTGTCGGGACAGGAAAAGAGGCCGACTTCCAGCACCTTGCCAAGTGTAGCCTCGGCCACCTTTCGGCCAAACTGCGTTGTAAAGCAGTCATCTTGAACCCCCCATAGCTGCACTTTGAAGGGGGCAGCTGCGAGCCCATCAAAGATCTGCTTATTAATGGTAGGGGTCCAGGCGCGGAGATGGATGATCCTGTCCTTAATCACCCATGGAGATTGTTTCAAAACCCAGCTCTTAGCATCCTCCGATGGGAGCACGAACTCATAGAGATCCTGAGCTACTATTCTGATCCTGATACGCCCCCTTCCTTGCCATGGATTATTCACCGATTCGCGAAGTTCCGTTACGGAGAACTTGGTTTCCGAGAAAAGGCGACCCAACACAGTACGTGATCGGAGCATCCTCTCCGATTGAACTTCTTCCAAGGAGAACTCAACGATTTGATCTTTGGTGACGTGTGACATCGTGGTTTCCTGCAACGATGGTAGCATACCAGGGTCACTTTCGTTCACATTAGATAGAGGGAGGTCGGTCAAGGACCACAGATAGCAAGAAAAACTATAATGGACTCTGTGGCCTAAGGCCAAGTCAAGCCGAAGGAGTAAATCAATCCCACCGCAACCAAATATCTACATACCTGATTTTGCAACTGGTCTGCCAGGGCGCGTGGTTTGCTTACTCACAGAGGGCTGCTCTCGCTTCTGTGATTTCGTATGAGCAGCTCTAGGAGACGCCTTCACTAAATAGGAGGCCGAGCCGTAACAAACTGAAGGCCGAGCCGTTACATAACCGCGTGAGTGCCAGAAACCCTAAGCCATTTCCGTTACCCGACGATCGTGGAAGATAAGGAAACCTAACGGGATTGGTGGTCATTGGCCTTATCGTCCAAGCCAGTGGCCACGATGGCTCGACGCAGCTCGTCGGCCGGAGGTCCGAAGATACTCCAAGCACTGATGATCCATTCGAGTTTTTGAGCGAACTCGCCCCACTTCGGGGTCTGAGTCCGATCTTTGAAGTTTTCTCTTCTTCTACTTTTCGTGTTTTGGTTGTTCTGTTTTGAAGTAATTTTTTTTGGAGGGATGAAGAATGAAACATAGTGATGATGATGGCTAGCATAGACACCAGCAGCCGCGGCGGCATGGCAGGCGGCATCGGCCGGAACTGACGATTCACTTCTGGCAATACCATCCCAAAGGAATTTGACAGGGAACTCGCCCCACATCAGGGTCTGAGTTCAAACTGAATGGATTTGCACAAAGTGCGTCTGAAGTCAGCTTCGCCAATCACATTTTTATCTTGTATGGTCTCTTCCATCCACTCCATTTCACTTGCTGAGGGCAATTTGAACCTCCATGCTGTCATACGAAAGGCCTGTTGTTTCTTGGTTTGCTGTTGGTCGGAGTCCGGTTCTCCATCATAGGAGGATGAGCATCCCAGTTTGCGAGCCACAGCCTGATTAGCGCCCGAGCGAAATCCCGGAGAGGGTACACGAGTTGATTTCGCCACCGTGATATTGTCGGAGAATTGGCTGCCGACGTGAGCGGCGGTGGTTCTGTATCCTTTTGTCCCAACTTGATTAGCAATGGCCGCCTGCAATATTGCCACGAAGAACGATAGGAGGAGGCGACCGACGAAGCGGTAGATTTCCAGGAGAGAGGCAAGAGCATCTCTCCACATTTTTTTTATTCTTCAACTGGTATTAAATACGAGCACACCATATGGTAAAACAAGTGTATCATGATGGTACGAACATACCAAGACTATAGGAAGGTTGAATACATGATAGTAGGAGTATACTAACTGTCATTTACAACTTTCATTATTGTTTATCATAAGTTACCACAAGTTACCACCCCCATACCAGAGTGGTAAAGTATGATAATTTTTTGGTATGTATTTTTTTCACCCATAAATTTGTAGATCCAACAGATCATGATGAAGTCGTTCCTTCTGAGCAAATATTTTTTTTATAAAAAAAAACTTAAAAACGAAGAAGTTATCATATGGTATGGAGTTGGTAACTGGAGGTATGAAAAACATTTCTAAAAAAATATTGAAAATTGATCTTATTTTGTAGAGCAGAACGAACTCATTCCATCTGTGGGGAAAAAAAAATGAAATCCAAGTTAGAACGAAAAAGATAAGAGTCAATTAAGAAAACTAGAGAAAATAACATATTTGTAATTCACAACCATTAAATCTGGATTTTCAAGCCCACCTAGATCTAAAGATCTAAATTTAGTTACTTATAGGTCAGTAACCAATATCTTCAGCCCTTTACATTCAAAAAATTTTCACTTAATATTATACAGGAGTTAACATTTTGTATTTGAGAAACTCTCTCATTTAGCTGCATTATATTTCCACAACGTCTAGCTTTTTTTATGATTTGCTATGCAAATTATATTTATACATGTATCACATGATATAAAATTATTATTTGTTGTACTATATCGTACCACTAATTATTCTCTAAATCATACATTGTTAGTCAGGGCAGCCCTCATATATATAGGGGTGTTCAAACGGATTGGTTACCGTGATAATCATATTAACTAGTAGCATTCGGTTTATTTGGTTTGGTTAATTTAGATAATTGGTTTGGTTTGTGTAAACAATTTAGCCTATTTGATTTAGGTGGTTTGGTTTGGTTTTAACACTGCTAACCAATGAAAACAATTAACCAATTAATGATACACATAATATACAAAATTATTTATACTTCCATGTAACCAATGACTTGTTCTAATTACAACATCCCAATCGATGACCAAGTATAACCGTCGACCGGGTGTAGCATAGGAAAAGCAAGCAATAAGAATTTATCGTACCACGAGGATCTAGGATCACCCTACTTCAGGTGTAGGGTTCGTTATCTAGCCAACCTAGGATGGTGATTAGAAGAATTAAACTAACTAACCTAGCTAACCACTAACCTAGCTATTTACAAGGTTGGGAGCTCTCTTGGGTTGAATCTTCCTAGGTCCATTCTTTGGATCGATGTTGGGTATCCTCCTAGCTCGATCGACTCAACTACAATACCGTTTGGAGATGGACTCCCTCGGGAACGACCCAGAACGGCAAATCGATGGATGGGCAGTGCTCTATTCAACCTAGGGTTTCGTATAATGCTAGGAGACCGGCTGAATCAACTCCCTCGGGGACTACCCGGACAATATACGATAGGAGTGACCCGAAGAGGCCAAAAGGGGGGCTCTAAGGGGATTATCTCCGTCCTAGGTCAAAAGCTCAATACATGAAAATGGAAACCCAACTCATGTCATTCCTGAAAACATCCATCAATTAAGTAAAATCATCAATCAATCATGAAGTTTGTCACATACATCAATATTAAACCCAAATCTAGACATAGGGTTCTTAAACCCAAGAGAAGAGGGTGAGTTTCTAGAGAGAGAGAGAGAGAGAAGAGAGTTTACAAAGAAACCTCTAGATCTTCATCTTCTTCTTCTAGGCTAGATCCCTAGCTTCCAAACTTGATCAATGCCTTCAATTAAGCTCCAAGATCACTCTCTCTCTCTCTCTCTCTCTCTCTCACTAGAACTCCCCTTTGGTGTTTTGGGTTGAAACCCTAGAGAAAGAAAGTGTTCCTTCTCCAAAAACCAGCTCCCCCTTTTCTTCCTTTTGCTGCTGTTTTTATACCCATATCGAGCCTAGTTCACGACCTCTGTTCACGGCCGTGAACACCTTAACGCGTCTGTGAACTCAACATCGTCTCCAAAAGGTACCGCTTCACTCTCTAGGTTCCACGGTTTGCACTCAAAGTTCACGGTCTTAGAGACCGTGAACTGCCTGGTCGTCATTAACCTCTGGAATCTCGCTGGACACCTCGCTGTTCACGGTTTAAGGTTCCAGTTCATGGTCTTGGAAGACCATGAACTCCAATGTTGGACCGTGAACTGCGGCTGCTTCATGGATGCCTGCGCTTCACTGTTACGGGGCAATTGTCACGGAATTTGGACGTTTTTTTCACTTTTGGCACTTTTCGACCTCCAACCGACCCAAAACTCGTCCTCGACCTTCCCACACATGCTAGGACCTGAAATGTATCAAAACAAGCACAACCTAGGGTGAAATATGTCGAAGGACGATGAAATGCAAATCCAAACTATCAAGGTATGAGGGGTAAAATGTGTACAAGTGGACCCGAATCAACCAACCAAACCAAAGCATTATGGTAAAATCTTCGACAGTGATTCCCTATTTTATTTCCCTGTGCACAACAAACCAAAGCATTATGGATCAAAAATTAAATGGGCCTGCCTATTTACTAAACCAAAACATTTTGGACATCTACCAGACTTTACGATTACGTACAATACAATGACACCCATCTCTAACTATGTATAGTTTAAGTGTTTTGTATGAGAGCTTTAACTTCCTGATGAGTGGTATTGGTATGTATTTAATATTTATGTTAAGGATTTATTGTAAGCTAACTATATTAGGTGCAGAGATGATGAATGATGTATTAACTCGAATGATGATGATAATCATGGATGGTTAGTCTTATTATTATTTATATATAATGATAGTTTATGATAGTAATAACATATGGTTATGTTTTATTCATTAAAATGATAATTGTTTTCATGTAATGTTATGTTATTTGGTTAATATGATTATCCAATTAACCAAACCAATTAAACTTTGGTTTGGTTAATTTTGACGGTTTGGTTAAGATATTTTATTCCACGGTTAATAAAATTTAGGCTTAATTGGTTTGATTATTAATACGATGACCATTTCAATATCCCTATATATATACACACGAAAAGTATGCACTAAATGCTTGGCATGAGGTTGTTTAATTGTCTATCCAATGTATAGATACCGATTTTGTCGGTACTATATCAATATATATTACCATGAGCATTTCTAATATGCTATATAGTATTGGTACTTTAATGTACAACTTAAAGTTGTACCATAACATGAAATGTATAAGTTTAGATTGTACCATAAAAGAATTTGTACCATTATGTTAAGGTACAACTTTACAACTTGAAGTTGTACCATTACATAAAGGTACAAGTTCAAGTTGTACCATAAAAGAATTTGTACAAACAGTATAGGTATAATCTAAAGTTGTACCACAACGTTAAATGTACAATTTCAAGTTGTACCATAAAGGCAAAAACCTATAGCACCAATACTATATAGCATTGTAAAATTCCTCATATTACCAATTGAGTATATCATCTTTATTTATTTTAATAACCGTATCATATATAACAATATGCTACCGATTAAATCACAATTGTCATTAAAATTCGTCCCCTAACTAAGCTGAAAATCATTGAACTAGTAGATCTAAAATTACTTCGGCAAAAAAGATAGGCCGTCTGAACGGACCATATCCTCTACGGACTAGCTAGTATATCTAACATGGTACATGTTCCTTTATTTGTAAAGATTAGTCTTTAATTAATTATCAAAGTTTAACTAGTAGTATTCCTTGTCCTTAACGGTTTTGTAAGTATGTCCGAGTACTTCTATGTAACTGCTGCAATATGTTGGCTATAAATACCTTCCATCAGTAATGCACAACACACGGTTATCAATAGCCATTCCACCTTTGTGCGTGCCACTGCCGTCTTAGTAATTAAATTTTTAGCCTACACATATTAGTACTCCCTCTTGCAAACAATGGTGAAGTTGTCGTCCCTCTTTGTCGCGGCGGTCCTCTTTCTGGTGGTGGCACCAGCCGTCTCAGCCTCGCGACCGTCGGTGTACAGCGTGACGAGCTACGGTGCTAGGGCGGACCCAAAAACAGACTCGACGAGAGGTTTTTCGGAAGCATGGAAAAGAGCGTGCAGCGACCCGCGCCCGTCTGTTGTGTACGTGCCCTATGGAAAGTTTCACCTCCGAAACATAGCGTTTGAAGGGCCGTGCAAGAGCAACTCTATCGTGGTGCGTATCGACGGAACCCTGGTGGCTCCGTCCGACTACTCCGTCATTGGGAATGCCGGGAACTGGATTCGGTTTCACAAAGTTGACGGCGTACGGATCTCTGGCGGGATACTTGACGGACAAGGCACCAGACTATGGTCTTGCAAGCTTGCCGGGAAGGACTGCCCCGTCGGCACCACGGTAATTAATTAATTAAGTCTTGTATATATATTATGCAATTACTTTTTTTTTCCCAGTTTTCTTCTTCCCCGTTATACGTTAACCTACCTAAATAACAAAATCTTGGTTTTGTTACGTACGTGATGACTTATGGATCGTGTTGGTGTGGTTTTGCATGCAGAATTTGCACATCGCTAACTCCAACAACGTGGTGATCGAGGGACTAAGCTCCGTGAACAGCCAGAAGTTCCACATCGCCATCACGGACAGCCAGAACGTGAAGCTCCAGCGCATGACCGTGACCGCCCCGGGAAGCAGCCCCAACACGGACGGCATCCACGTGGAGAGATCCAGCTTGGTGTCCATCCTCAACTCCACCATCTCGACGGGCGACGACTGCATCTCCATGGGCCCCGGGGCCCGCAACGTCTGGATCGAGCGAGTGGCGTGCGGGCCGGGCCACGGCATCAGCATCGGGAGCCTGGGCTGGAAGTTTCAGGAGCCCGGCGTGGAGAACATCACCGTCAAGAGAGTCCACCTCAGCGACACGACTAACGGTCTCCGGATCAAGACGTGGGCCCGCCCCAGCTTGGGTTTCGTCAGCAACGTCCTCTTCCATCACGTCGTCATGGACGGCGTCAAGAACCCCATCCTCATCGACCAGCACTACTGCCCCGGGCACGGCCAGAACTGCCCCAGCAAGGCATCCGGGGTCAGGGTCAGTGGCATCAGGTACAAGAGCATACGTGGCACCTCGAGGACCCAGGTCGCCGTGAGGTTCGACTGCAGTAAGTCGAACCCCTGCACCGGGATTACGATGCATGACGTGGCGCTTACTTACCTTGGTAAGGAGGCGGCCGTCACGTGTGTGAATGCGAGGGGTACTTCTTCGGGGTTTGTCACACCGCTGGTCCGGTGGTCGTAGGAAGACACTCATCAGTACACTACTATAGCTACGTTTCCGAGATTAATTTTGGGTCGTATGTACTTTAGTTATTTAATTCTTCTTAGCTACTAAGACGATCGTCTTCTTTCTCATGATACATATTTAATTTTGTATTTCGAGATTAATTTACATGTCTGGTTTGTCTTATTAACGATGGTACGTACTTTTACTGTATTGTCTTAAAAAAAACAAAGAAGGCAAGTTTTCCACCAATCCTACAAATGAAACTGTCCTGGTGCATGCAAGGATCTATAAGAAAAGCTAAGTAAACATGGTTTCATTTTGACACCTATAACACAAATTCATAAAGAAGAACAAATTTTAAAAAAGCATAATTATCTTTTCTTTTTTAAATAACGTAGGATTCATCAGACATAAAGGATAACACTGAGCCCCAAAGATGTGATTATATTACATTATTGTCAGGAGAATGGAGTTCTAATAGCAA